GGAAGCCAGTAGCTGGGTCAGTCTTCACGGCAGCTCACGCGTCACAAGGGACAAACTAAATAACTTTAATAAAAAAAACATTTATTTTCTACAGTGGAATGCTAGAAGCTTGATAGCAAATGGACAGGAGTTCAAGAGATTAATCTCCGAATTAGAGGTCAAGCCAGAGGTTATTTTCATTGTTGAAACGTGGCTGAAACCTCATTTGAGCTTTGTCTTGAATGGGTGTGTACGTGAGCGCAGTGATAGAAACGATAGTAGTGGGGGTGGATGTGTGACTTTTATCAAGAAAGGTGTTCCCTTCAGAGTTTTAGGCTGAGTTTACACGGAGACAATGTGGCAGTAAAACGGTATAGTTGGATGTCGGTTGCTACCAACCGTTCATACGGAGACTGTGTTCCAGGTGAAAACGTACGTGTTCAGATCCAGCCTGCAGAGTGGGACAACTCAGAAATGCTGCACAGCGGGGGCTCTTTCACACCCGCGAGAGGGAAAAGGTGTGAAATCCCCCTCTGCTCTGACCCCCACCTCCGCTGCTCCCCGCACTTACATTTGGACATGCGCAGAGAACAAACATCAACAACAATGGCGGCGGTCACACTAACTAACTACGTGGGCTTCCAGCGCGGCACAGAGGATAATTCTACTCCTTCGTTCGTCGAAACGAGAAGCTCTAGGTTCAGTTTCCATGTTCACAGCTGCTGTTAAAATGCAGAATGATGTTGGTGCGTTCTGAGGGTCTGGCACAGGAAGTGAGTATACTGCCGAGACGGGGCTGGGCACGGGGCTGGGGGTCGTGTGAGTGTTGTAAAGTTTCTCTGCCCACTACTGGCCGGGCGCTAAAACTATCGTTTTTCAACCTCATGTGAACGCAGAGAAATTTGCATTAGGAGCCAGGTCGTTTCTGTTAATAGCCTGGAAACGTCTGCGCAGCGTCTCAGTATAAACAGGGCCTAAGGTAAGGGTGAACAACTAGAATATCTAACTGTTGAGATTTGGTGGGAAAGGGTTGCCTAACGGTCGTCAATTTTTATAACCCTTGTAAAAGACTTGAGATTGATGCATTAGTCGATTGACTGTCAAGGAGGAAGAAATGAAATATGGCTTGGAGATTTTAATGCACAGTGTCCTTTGGGGAGGGGAAAAAATGGACCACAATGGGTTGGTAAGAGAAGAGCTCATGGATAGGAAAGAATTGGGCTGAATGATGGGTCACCTACTCGAATTGGGCTGAATGTGCAATCTGTATTGGATCTGACTTTAGTACATAGACGTCGGAACTAGGGGTGCGGGGGGTGCGGCCGCACCCCCTCCGCGTGTGCCGGGAGCGAGAAGTTATCACTATCCTGCGTTCCTTGCAGCCCAAAACCCGCTCCATGCTGTCGGAGAAGCTCATGAAGCTCTGTCTGGCTAATATCTGTCGCAGCCTCTGAGCGCTCTTTCTCAGCCTTGCGCAGATTAAAGACCTGGCTACACCAGTGACGTGCGGTGGGGGATCAATCATGTGTTCATATGATTATACATCATATAAACCAACAGGACCTACAGGAACAGGAGCGGCTTATACACAATTTGTTTGGCTACAGCAGAATATGATTTAATGTCTGCATTGTTTTCTCATACAAAACGCAAACGTTTGTAAAAAGTACAAAGTGTGTTATGGGCCTATACCTTAGGTATTAATGAACAGCACAGACCACTTCAGTTAGGACCAGTTTCATGTTTAAGTCCAGATAATAGTTTGAGCACAGACATGTAATCCTCCATTTGGAAATAAGTTCAATGAGTTTTAAAAAGTAAAAAAACGGGTGTCTCTTCCGTAAACTCCGAGTTTTGCTGCAGCCGACTCCCGGGTAAATCCAATTTCTAAATTCAACCTTACCCTTCACCTCCTTTTCTTATGATTCATATCATCATTGGAAGCAAAACATTACTCTAAGTGCATTTTAAATTATCTTAAAATGTATTATAGGTATGTTAGCCAAACCTGTAGCTGCCCTTAGCAGAAGAAGAACAAGAAAGGAGCTTTCTGATGGAATTGGATGCAGCCAAAGTTTGGGCTCAAAAGCGCCCCCTTGAGGCTTTCCTCACTTACAAGCTGTGGTTGAGCGCGATTAAGACCCATATTTGCTTCAAAAACACAATTTATGAGCCATCCTCTTAAATGTAAACATGTTGATTGTAAATTAAATATTTTTGAACTTTTTAAACTGTGATAAACAGAGAAAACAGTTTGATAGCACCTCACAGGACTCTCCCTGTGAGCTGTTGCTTTTTACGTCTCCCAAGAGAGGCTCGCCTCACAGCACCGCTCTGTCAAATCTGCGATTTCAAGGTATAAATAAATGAAATAAGGCACAGCACAAATCACTTGATAAAGTGACCAAACATTATTGTATCCATTTTATTACTTTTCTTTCTATGATCTTAGGTGAGGGCCTTGCCTGCCTCATCTGACCGCACGTCACTGGGCTACACAACACAATGAAGCCACCGGAGAGACTGACGCATGAATGCGTATTGAAAAAAAAAAAGTTCAGTTTGATAAGTGACTTCCTTGATATATATTGTTTCTTTTGTTTTTCTTAACAATTAAGATGGTATGTTATTATCCAGTGTAATCCAAGTATGAGTCTCTCCCTCGACTCTCCCAACAAAAACCCGCCCCCCCTCTCAGAAAATAGTTCCGACGTCCATGCTTTAGTACCTCAGTCTCTGACTGAGATGTTGACACAGGATGCACAATTGACGAACCATAGAAAGAAAAAATTGAACAAAAAGCAAATGACAGTGAATGAGTTAAGAGCAATGATCCTGTGGCTGTGAAAGATAAAGAGAAGGCAGCACTAATGGTAGAAACTATAGCCAAGATTCATAGTGGGTTAAATTTGACTGAAGCGGAAAGGAATTGAAGAAAGGAAACAAAGCAACAGTGTTTGTTAGAGTGCGTAGAGGATGGTGACGACTGCTTGAATGCTAGATTCTCAATAAACAAACTCAAAAGGGCTATAAATAAGGCTACGGTCACAGCTACAGGGAAAGATCAGGTCAGCTATGCAATGTTAAAACATCTTGGTAAGAATGGTATGAATGTGATGCTTGAGCTGTTTAGAAAGGTGTGGGAACAAAAGGAAAGTCCAAAAGACTGGAAGATGGCTGTAATTATTCCTATCAGAAAACCAGGGAAAGATCCAACTATGGCCTCAAACTACAGACCCATTGCTTTGTCATCCTGGGAAAGGTAATGAGAGAATGATTGTGGAACGGCTTACTTTTTATGTTGAATCACAAAATTTGATTCAGGAAGAAAAGGTCGACTATGGACCCTGTTATTAAGTTGGAAAGTGATGTTCGGAAGGCTCAGGCGTGTGAAGAAATAGTTGCAGCTGTATTTTCTGATGTTGAAAAGGCATATGACATGCTTTGGAAAGATGGAGTTCTAATCCAAATAAGGAACATAGGAATAAAAGGGAGACTATACAACTGGATCAATGACTTTTTGAATAAAAGGCAAATTCAGGTTAGAATAAATAATTGCTACTCTGAGTGTGTCATGGTTGAAAATGGTGTGCCCCAAGGAAGTGTTATTTCACCAGTTTTATTTTCTATTATGATAAATGATATATATGAAACAATTGACAGGAGTATAGGGAAATCCATATTTGCAGATGATGGTGCTCTCTGGAAGAGGGAAACAACATTGGGTTCACTGTTAAGAGTCTTCAAAAAGCAATTGATGCAGTTGAAGAATGGGCAGGGAAATGGGGATTCCAGTTCTCTGGTGAGAAGGGTTAGTTCAGTACAAGCTGCAATAGACAACCTGGAACTAAGCCCATCAGTGGTTTATCCACCGCATCACCCATGGGTGCTGCCAGGTCCAAATGCAGACACGACAAGTTGAGAAGCTTCCAGGGAGATAGTGGGCAGTTGGTTCTGATGTATGTGGATAGCCACTATGGATATGTGCATGTTACTGATGGATCCAAACAACCAGATACAGGGAGAGTAGCAATAGCATATGTGGTTCCAGAGTTTGACATAAAGTTTTCTGCAAGAGCCTCAGATCAATATCAGTCTATACAGCAGAGTTGATCGCTATTGTTATGGCACAGACCGCTAAGAGTTGTAATATGCTCTGATTCATTGTCAGCATTAGAGAGTTTTAAATCTGGTAATGTAAGTGAAAGATATGACATAGTGTGTGAGATATTAACTTTGCTGCATAATATTGAGACTGGGGGAACACATGTTACATTTGTTTGGGTTCCGGCTCATGTAGGTCTGATGGGAAATGAGCTGGCCGACAAATGTGCTAAACAAGCCTTGAAAGCAACAGCTGTATCTGTAAAGTGTAGCATGTCGAAATCAGAGGCAAAGTCAATCATAGTGAAGCATGTCAAAGGATCGTGGCAAGAGAAATGGGAGAGAGAAGACAGAGGGAGGGGTCTTTATAAGATAACTCCTGAGGTCGGTCAGGGCCGTCGGGTCATGAGATGTAGAAGGGAAGAAACTATTTTAACCAGAATGAGAATAGGGCACACTGGTCTTAATACCACATTACATCTAATAGGGAAGCATCCGTCAGGAAACTGCGATGACTGTAAGTGTCAGACAGTGGAACGTATTTTAATCAAATGCGGAAAGTTTTTAAAGAGACAGGATTTTACTTAACAGGAAAATAGAGGATTGTGGAGAAAAGTTTCCCCTAAAAGACATATTATCTAAAGAATCAGACCATAGAGTGATAACATATTTTTATGATTTTTTAAAAACACACTGGACTCGTTAGAAGAATTTAAAATATGCATGCGTAAGTTATCTTTTTTGTTTTAGTAACTGTAGCTTGCAAGCTACGAAACTGCTTCGGAAGTTGTAAGCCATAGAGGTGACACATGCACAATCTGTCCGGTGGGTGGCGGTAATGCGCTGCACTAGTTCGCAACCGCAGTTAAGCAATCAAAGAAGAAGAAGAAGATGGAGTCCGTGTTTATCTTCAGCACATGTGCAGTGAGCTCCAGACACTTTTACAAACATATATAGATATAAACTGTGTCCGCCTCTGCACCCGGGCATAAAGCCGTCTGTGTGACCGCCTCTGGAGCTCCGGTCTGCGGCGTGTGGAGAGACCCGACCCGGGAAGGACGACCAGAGCCCGGGCCGAGGAGCCCCGTGAGGCCGGGAGAGGAGCCACAGGCCGCCGCTGCAGACCCGGGGATGGAGGCTTTTCTCCGGAGCCGCGGGGCAGAGCTGGTAATGGACCCGAACCACATCCTGTTCTGTCTCCACAACACACCTGCAGACAGAGGACTTTAGAAAGTTGTTAACTCCTCAACAACTGATCAGAGAAGCACACAGTTCAACACAGGAAATGTGATAATAACAAACACACAGAGCCATTGGTCCAAAAGGAGCTGGTCTCTCTCTTTCTGGTCTCTCTCTCTCTCTGGTAAGTAAGTAATCTTTATTTATATACCAGAGTCACAAAGCGGTTTACAATTGTTATTTTTGGGCACTTGTCTCTCACTCCACACAGAGATGGGAGCGGGGTCGCTGAACAGGAGGCGCATGCCAGACCTATTGTACATATTTTTAGTGGTAGGGGAAACCGGAGTATCTGGAGGAAACCTACGCAGACACGGGGAGAACATGCAAACTCCACTCAGAAAGGTCCTGGTCCGACCGGGATTCGAACCCAGGACCTTCTTGCTGAGCTGCGAGAGTGCTATCCACTCAGCCACCTGCCGCCCACTGTGTCTGTCTCTCTGGTCTCTCACTCTGGTCTCTCTCTCTGGTCTGTTTCTCTGTTCTCTCTCTCTCTGGTCCCTCTCTCTCTGGTGCCTCTCTGGTCTCTCTGGTTCCTCTCTGGTCCCTCTCACTGGTCCCTCTTGCTGGTCTCTCTGTAGAAGTGTGACCTGTTTGTTTATCCCTCAGTCTGGTCCTGGTTCCGGTCTGGGTCCGGTCCATGTGGTCCTGGGGAATGAAGCCTGTGACATGGACTCTATGGTCTGTGCTCTGGTCTATGGATACCTCCTGCACATGGTATGAACACGCTAATGACAGGCTAACGACATGCTAACAACACCCTCACAACATGCTAATAACAGGCTAGCACATGCTAACCCTGTGTCTCTCGTCCTCAGAGTGGCGGTGGGCGTGGTGTGGTTATTCCCCTCCTGAATATTCCGGCCCAGGACTTTGTTCTGAGGTCGGACTCTGTGGCTCTGTTGAGGAAGTCCGGTCTGAGTCCGGAACTGCTGCTGTTCCGGGATCAAGTGGATCTGAGGCGGATCCGGAGAGAGAGAGGCCTGTGGCTAACGCTAGTGGACCACAACGTGTTAGCAGAGTAAGGACATGCTAAAGACATGCTAAAGAAACATGCTATATGGTCTGTAGGTTAGATAACTGAACTAATGTTATTGTTGCTCTTTTGTTTTGTAGTTCTGACAGTTACCTGGAGGGGGCAGTAGTCGAGGTCATCGATCACCACAAACTGGAGCGGGTTGTTACCGCAGAGACGGCCGCTTCCTGTCTCATCACCGTGGAGACTGTAGGTTCCTGTGCAACGCTGGTGACAGAGAAACTTCTGCAGAGGGCGCCAGAGCTGCTGGACCTCAATGTGGCCACTCTGCTCTACGGTAAAACCAGGCTGACGTCAGGCTGACCTTAGGCTCTTTAACGCGAGTCCCTCTGTGTCTCGGGACCTCTTTAACGCGAGTCCTTCTGTGTCTCGGGACCTCTTTAACGCGAGTCCCTCTGTGCTCAGGCACCATCCTGGTGGACTGTGTGGACCTGGCTCCTGAGGCGGGGAAAGTGACTCCTAAAGACTCAGAAGTGGTCCATGAACTGGAGACTAAAGTCCAAAGTCTGCCTCAAAGATCTGAGCTGTTCACGGAACTGCAGGACCAGAAGTTCAACGTGCACGGTAAGTCCTGGTCCAGACCTGGTCCGGACCTGGTCCAGGTTTCTCAGTCTGAACCTCTTCCAGGTCTGAACTCAGAGCAGATGTTGAGGAAAGACCTGAAGTCTGTGTCTGGACCTGATCTGAGCCTCGGCATCAGCGTCATCTACCTCCCACTACAGGTACTACAGGTACTGCATGTTCTACAGGTACTGCATGTTCTACAGGTACTGCATGTTCTACAGGTACTGCATGTTCTGCATGTACTGCATGTACTACAGGTACTGCATGTACTACAGGTACTGCAGGTACTTCAGTTACTGCAGGTACTGCATGTAAGTGAGTAATCTTTATTTATATACCGCTTTTCACAGACCAGTCACAAAGCGGTTTACAATTTACTACATGTACTTCAGGTACTGCATGTACTACAGGTACTTAAGGAACTACAGGTACCTCCCACTTTAGGCGGTACCTGTAGTACCTTCATCCACCCCAGACTACAGGTACTATGGGTCTGGTCCAGTTTGGTCCCTAGTTCATATTTAGTAGTGTTACCATGGGGACCAGCTCCTCATGTTTCCTTTGACCATATTAGGACTTCCTGGGCATGGCCGGTGTGGCGGCAGAGCTCTCGTCCTTCTGTCAGACGATGGGTTTTGATTTGCTGCTGCTCATGTCAATCTCCTTCACTGCTTCTCAACAACCAATCAGAGAACTAGGGGTGTTCAGCCTGAGTCAGCCAATCAGAGAGCAGGTAACAGTTCTTGGCCAATCACTGGCCTCCTCACTGTGTCACATGACATCTGTCCCTCCTCAGGTTAGTGCTCACCTGGTACAAGCCGAAAGCCCCGCCCTCCTCCTGCAGCCAATCAGCTGCGAGCATCCACATGTCACCGCCTTCCACCAAGGTACCAGCAACACATGTGTACAACACCATATAAGGACTATGTCCAAACCATATAAGCACACACCAACCCTGACCTGTGAACAGGAAATGCAACTGCCTCCAGGAAGAAAGTGCTGCCAATCCTGAAGGACTGCCTGTTCAGTGATGACATCACTTCCTGCGTAAAACGGAGGGACTTCCTGTCGAGTGATGACCTCATGGTCCCGCCCACTCCTGTCAACAGCCTCGTGGAAGGAAGTCCCCTCGACCAAGGACTGAGCCCGACCGAGCTGACGACCCGACTGCTGACCCGCTGACCCGACTGCTGACCTGCTGACCCGCTGACCCGACTGCTGACCAGACTGCTGACCCACTGACCCGACTGCTGACCCACTGACCCGACTGCTGACCCACTGACCAGACTGCTGACCCGCTGACCCGACTGCTGACCAGTGTCCCGTGGAGGCAGTAAAAACAAAGGTGTCTGATACAAACAGTTTATTTCTCTGTAGTTGAATAAATAATGTGAATCTGGTGTTGGAGTCTTCTTCAGTGAGCATTTCTCCTTTGAGGCGATCCACATCATCAGCCAGGAAGATAAAGCTATATGTCAGGAGACTTTAAAGTGACTCGGTACACACAGACACCCTCGAGGAGGCACACACAGACACACACACCCTCCAGGAGACACACACACACTCTCCAGGTGCACACACACACCCTCCAGGAGCACACACAAACACACACACCCTCCAGGAGCACACACACACACCCTCCAGGAGCACACACACACACAACCTCCAGGAGCACACACACACCCTCCAGGAGCACACACACACACCCTCCAGGAGCACACACACACCCTCCAGGAGCACACACACACCCTCCAGGATCACACACAGACACACACACAACCTCCAGGAGTACACACAGACACACACACACCCTCCAGGAGCGCACACAGACACACACACCCCTCCAGGATCACACACAGACACACACCCTCCAGGAGCACACACACACACCCTCCAGGAGCGCACACACATCCTCCAGGAGCACACACAACCTCCAGGAGCACACACAGACACACACCCTCCAGGAGCACACACACACCCTCCAGGATCACACACAGACACACACACAACCTCCAGGAGTACACACAGACACACACACCCTCCAGGAGCACACACACACACACTCCAGGAGCGCACACAGACACACACACCCTCCAGGAGCACACACAGACACACACACCCTCCAGGAGCACACACACACACCCTCCAGGAGCACACACCCACCCTCCAGGATCACACACAACCTCCAGGAGCACACACACCCTCCAGGAGCACACACAGACACACACACACCCTCCAGGAGCACACACCCACCCTCCAGGATCACACACAGACACACACACCCTCCAGGAGCACACACAGACACACACACCCTCCAGGAGCGCACACAGACACACACACCCTCCAGGATCACACACACACCCTCCAGGAGCACACACAGACACACACACCCTCCAGGAGCGCACACAGACACACACACCCTCCAGGATCACACACACACACCCTCCAGGAGCACACACACACACCCTCCAGGAGCACACACCCACCCTCCAGGATCACACACAACCTCCAGGAGCACACACACACCCTCCAGGAGCACACACAGACACACACACCCTCCAGGAGCACACACAGACACACACACACCCTCCAGGAGCAAACACACACACCCTCCAGGATCACACACAGACACACACACAACCTCCAGGAGTACACACAGACACACACACACCCTCCAGGAGCACACACAGACACACACACCCTCCAGGAGCGCACACAGACACACACACCCTCCAGGATCACACACAGACACACACACCCTCCAGGAGCACACACAGACACACACCCTCCAGGAGCGCACACAGATACACACATCCTCCAGGAGCACACACACACCCTCCAGGAGCACACACACTCTCCAGGAGCACACACAGACACACACACCCTCCATGAGCACACACACACCCTCCAGGAGCGCACACAGACACACACACCCTCCAGGATCACACACAGACACACACACCCTCCAGGAGCACACACACTCTCCAGGAGCACACACAGACACTCCAGGAGGTGCAGGACTTTTGGTTCCAACGTTGTGGTTGTGTCCATATGGTTCTCATGAGGCGTATTGACACAAGATTTAAAATGAACACTTTTTTCAAAAAACAGATGCATTTTCCTAAATATTATTCACAGATGTTAGTGCGGTGAGCACTTCTCCGAGATAATCCATCTTCACTTTTCTTCTCGCAGCTGAAACAGCGACAGGAGCCTCATCTGCTCCGGTTGCATCGAGTGTCTCCGAAGCAACGTCTTCCGTCGGTCACGTGGGGGGGCGTGGCCTGGAGCCGAGGGGGCGTGGCTTGATGGGGCAGGGTTAGTGCTGCGGCTGCCTGTGATTGGCCGCTGTGTGTTGAACAGCGGTGGAAGGAAAAGCGGGCGGGGCTGAGTGAGATGGTCCAATAGCAACGTCCCGGAACCACGCCGTTCCAGAAGCCCCGCCCCCTGACGAACGCGGCGTGTTGTCGATGGCGACGATAAATTCTCCGACTGATTAAAGCGTCTGCGAAACAACTGCAGAGCGTCGTCCTCAGCGCCACCGTCTGGAGAGACACGGAAACACAATGAGCCTAATGTGGGTCAATCACCGACCTGCGATAGGGAGGAGCCTCCAGCAGTGGGAGGAGCCTCCACATGGCAGGTCAGTGCTGGTCATGGATCTATAATAGGGCTGGAAAGCGGAAGTGCGAGATTTTGCGAGATTTCCACCCGTGGATACAAACAAACCACACGTGCCAGTTGTATGGTGCGGATATCGCCGACTTCTTCCTCGTTAATGGACTTTCCTGTGTTATTTTGGACACATTTTGTCTCTGGGACAGAAAAACTGAGTGAACGGTCGGAATTAGCTGTGAACTGGCAATGTGCTGACGTTTCCATATGACGGGGAGATGAGAAAGGCACAGGGCCGTGTTCAAACATACAGTCTATGGTTCAAACTCATTGTATTTTAATCCACTATCACGCATCAGAAAGAAAATATAGAAACACTATTCCTATGCAAATAAATTGATGTTGTCCCTTACAGCTATCTTTGCTGCTTTGGTTATAAGCCAATGTATATGAATGATCAGTTTTCTATCTGTTCATCAGTTCCATCTCCACTTCACACTCACTGCAGCTTCACTTTGGGCCTTTTTCCTTTTTGCTGTGCTGTCAAAAATAATATGATGTAGTTGGGTTACCTATTCATTTAATACGAATGATTGTCCGTTTTCTGTTATATTTGAACATTTGTTAAATGTTATTTAATACGTGTTAATATGTTCCTCCTTTATCTCTCAAATAAATAAATGTTTGAGAGACAATATTTATTCTGTGTGACATCAATAAAGTTTCTTATCTTAAAATACAAGCCACAATTAAAGGCTTGGCCGTGCACTATTACAGGTTAGCATTAGCTACAAGTTAGCTTGAATACATGTTCAAGTTAACTGTCTCTGAAATCAGACAAAATATTTTATCAGAACTGCATAGCTTTTCCCACAGCTTCAGTTGGTCTTTGGGAAACCTAAAGAATGAGCATGTGTCGCGTAAACTGTGATGATTACAGCCGAAAACAAAGCAGAGCACCATTCACTTAAACCGCCTCTTCGAACAGCTGACGGTTTGTTTGTATCCGAGCAATGAACCGGAAGTGCTTCTGGGACGAGACTTTCCAGCCCTATAAGGACAGAGCAGTGATGTCACAGACAAAAGGCCCGGACTGGTTCAATGTTTATTAAAACATGTTCAAATGATTCAAACCTACAGAACCAAGACCTAACACAGTGTACCATGTTCTGTTTAATGATTATTTTAATTTAATAATCCGATATATTTGTGGGGCTGACAGACATAAACAAACTTCCTTCAAAGACAAAACACACGTCCTGAAAATGAAATGAATAATTCCATCTTTTCTTTCGTCTCTGTGCAGTTCTGACACGGTCAGATCATCCTGGGCCAAGATCATTCATTCTCAGGCCTCTGTGGTCCTGCAGAACCATGTTAGAACTCAGAGTAAACCTGAGAGAGAACCTGACAGAGAACCTACAGAGAACCTGACAGAGACCCTACAAAGAACCTACAGAGAACTTGACAGAAAACCTACAGAGAACCTACAAAGAACCTACAGAGAACCTGACAGAGAACCTGACAGAGAACCTACAGAGAACTTGACAGAGAACCCACAGAGAACTTGACAGAGAACCTGACAGAGAACCTACAGAGAACCTAACAGAGAACCTACAAAGAACCTGACAGATAACCTGACAGAGAACCTACGGAGAACCTGACAGAGAATCTGACAGAGAACCTACAGAGAACCTGACAGAGAACCTACAGAGAACCTGACAGAGAACCTACAGAGAACTTGACGGAGAACCTACGGAGAACCTGACAGAGAATCTGACAGAGAACCTACAGAGAACCTGACAGAGAACCTGACAGAAAACCTACAGAGAACCTAACAGAGAATCTGACAGAGAACCTACAGAGAACCTGACAGAGAACCTGACAGAAAACCTACAGAGAACCTACAGAGAACCTGACAGAGAACCTGACAGAGAACCTACAGAGAACCTGACAGAGAACCTACAGAGAACCTGACAGAGAATGTACAGAGAACCTACAGAGAATCTACAGAGACCCTACAGAGAACCTACAAAGAACCTGACAGAGAACCTACAGAGAACCTGACAGAGAACCTGACAGAAAACCTACAGAGAACCTACAGAGAACCTAACAGAGAATCTGACAGAGAACCTACAGAGAACCTGACAGAGAATCTGACAGAGAACCTACAGAGAACCTGACAGAGAACCTGACAGAAAATCTACAGAGAACCTACAGAGAACCTGACAGAGAACCTGACAGAGAACCTACAGAGAACCTGACAGAGAATGTACAGAGAACCTACAGAGAATCTACAGAGAACCTACAGAGAACCTACAAAGAACCTGACAGAGAACCTACAGAGAACCTACAGAGAACCTGACAGAGAACCTACAGAGAACCTGACAGAGAACTTGACAGAGAACCTGACAGAGAACCTACAGAGAACAGAGAACCTGACAGAGAACCTACAGACAATCTGAACCTGACAGAGAACCTACAGAGAACCTACAAAGAACCTGACAGAGAACCTACAGAGAACCTACAGAGAACCTGACAGAGAACCTACAGAGAACCTGACAGAGAACTTGACAGAGAACCTGACAGAGAACCTACAGAGAACAGAGAACCTGACAGAGAACCTACAGAGAACCTGACAGAGAACCTACAGAGAACCTGACAGAGAACTTGACAGAGAACCTGACAGAGAACCTACAGAGAACAGAAAAACTGACAGAGAACCTACGGAGAACCTGACAGAGAACCTGACAGAGAACCTACGAAGAACCTGACAGAGAACCTGACAGAGAACCTGACAGAAAACCTGACAGAGAACCTGACAGAGAACCTACAGAGAACATGACAGAGAACCTGACAGAGAATCTGACAGAGACCCTACAAAGAACCTACAGAGAACCTGACAGAAAACCTACAGAGAACCTACAAAGAACCTGACAGAGACCCTACAAAGAACCTACAGAGAACCTGACAGAAAACCTACAGAGAACCTACAAAGAACCTACAGAGAACCTGACAGAGAACCTGACAGAGAACCTACAGAGAACCTGACAGAGAACCCACAGAGAACTTGACAGAGAACCTGACAGAGAACCTACAGAGAAGCTACAGAGAACCTAACAGAGAACCTACAAAGAACCTGACAGATAACCTGACAGAAAACCTGACAGAGAACCTGACAGAGAACCTACGGAGAACCTGACAGAGAACCTACGAAGAACCTGACAGAGAACCTGACAGAGAACCTGACAGAAAACCTGACAGAGAACCTGACAGAGAACCTACAGAGAACCTGACAGAGAACCTGACAGAGAATCTGACAGAGACCCTACAAAGAACCTACAGAGAACCTGACAGAAAACCTACAGAGAACCTACAAAGAACCTGACAGAGACCCTACAAAGAACCTACAGAGAACCTGACAGAAAACCTACAGAGAACCTACAAAGAACCTACAGAGAACCTGACAGAGAACCTGACAGAGAACCTACAGAGAACCTGACAGAGAACCCACAGAGAGCTTGACAGAGAACCTGACAGAGAACCTACAGAGAACCTAACAGAGAACCTACAAAGAACCTGACAGATAACCTGACAGAAAACCTGACAGAGAACCTGACAGAGAACCTACGGAGAACCTGACAGAGAATCTGACAGAGAACCTACAGAGAACCTGACAGAGAACCTACAGAGAACCTGACAGAGAACCTACAGAGAACCTACGGAGAACCTGACAGAGAATCTGACAGAGAACCTACAGAGAACCTGACAGAGAATCTGACAGAGAACCTACAGAGAACCTGACAGAGAACCTGACAGAGAACCTGACAGAAAACCTACAGAGAACCTACAGAGAACCTGACAGAGAATCTGACAGAGAACCTACAGAGAACCTGACAGAGAATCTGACAGAGAACCTACAGAGAACCTGACAGAGAACCTGACAGAAAACCTACAGAGAACCTACAGAAAACCTGACAGAGAACCTGACAGAGAACCTACAGAGAACCTGACAGAGAACCTACAGAGAACCTGACAGAGAATGTACAGAGAACCTACAGAGAATCTACAGAGAACCTACAGAGAACCTACAAAGAACCTGACAGAGAACCTACAGAGAACCTGACAGAGAACCTACAGAGAACCTGACAGAGAACTTGACAGAGAACCTGACAGAGAACCTACAGAGAACAGAGAACCTGACAGAGAACCTACAGAGAACCTGACAGAGAACTTGACAGAGAACCTGACAGAGAACCTACAGAGAACAGAAAACCTGACAGAGAACCCACAGAGAACCTGACAGAGAACCTGACAGAGAACCTACGGAGAACCTGACAGAGAACCTGACAGAGAACCTACGAAGAACCTGACAGAGAACCTGACAGAAAACCTGACAGAGAACCTGACAGCGAACCTACAGAGAACCTGACAGAGAATCTGACAGAAAACCTACAGAGAACCTGACAGAGAATCTGACAGAGAACCTACAGAGAACCTGACAGAGAACCTGACAGAGAACCTACAGAGAACATGACAGAGAATGTACAGAGAACCTACAGAGAATCTACAAAGAACCTACAGAGAACCTGACAGAGAATCTACAGAGAACCTGACAGAGAACATGACAGATAACCTACAGAGAACCTGACAGAGAACCTACAAAGAACCTACAGAGAACCTGACAGAGAACCTACAGAGAACCTGACAGAGAACCTACAAAGAACCTACAGAGACCCTACAGAGAACCTACAAAGAACCTACAGAGACCCTACAGAGAACCTACAAAGAACCTAGAGAGAACCTACAAAGAACCTGACAGAGAACCTATAGAGAACCTACAGAGAACCTGACAGAGAACCTACAGAGAACCTGAAAGAGAAGCTACAAAGAACATAACAGAGAGCCTACAGAGAACCTGACAGAGAACTTGACAGAGAGCCTACAGAGAACCTGACAGAGAACTTGACAGAGAACCTGACAGAAAACCTACAGAGAACCTGACAGAGAACTTGACAGAGAACCTGACAGAGAACCTGACAG